ACCGAGGAAATAGAAAGGGTACAAACACATTTTATGTTGTCCTCGAATATGATTAGGGTAATCACGAGGAGAAAAGGTCGCTCGATTATGCCCAACTAATGTTGCTTCCGGTAGCTTTTGAACCATGGGCTTCGCTTTAATCTATCTATTTTGTACACAACCTCAATTATTTTTGTTCAGAGAGAGAGAGAGAGAGAGAGAGTAGAGAGCCTTGGCGAACAAGCAAGCCCGTCTTTTCAATCCCTATTCTTCCCTCTCATGCTTCTCAGAGTCAACACTCTCTTCTTAATTATCATTTGTCTCGGCCAACTTGCCCAGGCGCAACGTCGCCACTAGCTGTTTCCAGCTCAGGAAAATGATGTACATAATCGACTCCAGCGCACTACGGTAGAGACCATCGATCTTAGCTTGTCCTGTTCATGTATCAGATCTAACACCCTACCGGGTGCTCACAACTCTCGATCTGCCCATCTCTCCTGCAATCTGTCATCAATTCTACCTCCAGGACAACGGGGCTCGACAGGTGGGACCCAGATGGAAGATTGGCCGGTGCTACGCCGATAAATTTGGCATCGGTGCAACCATTTTGAAGCATGCATGCATTGACGAGACCAAAGTTGTATAGGTCCACACTTAGACCACGTCCGTCATTCATCGAATAGTATGACGGTCGCAATACAGCACTCTCTCATGGTCCGTGGAACGAGACGAAGAAGAATACGGCAAAGGGGGTGTAGATTCTCACAAACTCGGTGGATCAGCAGCTAAAAACAATAATTAAACACAGCTTTTACTAAGTAGCACGATCATGATTCGGGGAAGCCCCACTTGGTTTTGGATACCTCTGGAGAAGAAAAGCTAGACGCTTCTAGAGGTTCAGAGACCAGTTTGGTCATCACGGCCAAAATAAAAAAAGAAACATGGAAATATTAAGGGTTCGGTGAACGTAATAAGCTGAAAATAAATATATAATTTTATTAGTGAAAAAGAACGAGGATTTATAAGTCTGGAAAATAATAATTTATGAACATAAAGGCCAAAATTTACATGACAAAGTTCTGCAACACATGATGACCGTAAGAGGAAGCTGTGCGTATGGCCATGCACCTACTACTACTCCATTTCCCTAGTCTTCGCGAGTTCTGATGTAGAAAATTCATGTGGAATCCGTCTCCTGCCTTGGCTGTCAAGCAACCTGGAAAATGTGTCGACGACAACATCGTTTGATCTCCAACTGGGCGGTGGTCACCTTCTCCGGCTAGCTCGCTTAGCGTGTGCAAGATGGTAGCAGTACTCTCAAGACACAATCTATTTCGTGTCCCCGACGAAGCGTCCAAATCGATTCCGACTCTATTAAGTCTGCCCCATCAGAAACATGATGATGAATGCCATTATTGGCCACGAGCAGGACGACAAAGTACGCTTCCGTGATACCCTTTGCCTCTTCTGCTGAAATGTTGTCCCCCTTCTAGATCCATGTCCAGCGAGTTATACACACATCGTAGGAAGTCCTACATATTGGCAGGCATCACACGTGCTCATGGACAGTTAACAAAGTCTTCTGATCACCGAGCTATATTCGTCCTTGGATCTCGTCCCTCGGTAATCCGGATGTTTGCTTGGAAGTAGAGATCACCCTTCTGGATCGAAGACGATCGATTAGAAACTGGGTCAGTGGGTGGGAGCCCCACTCGGAAGAAGAGATCCAAGTGCCGATGCTTTCCCCGTACCTTGTGCATGGACACCGATTCAGCGTGGGCGAGTTTCCAACCTCCGGGTGTGGCATATTTTGATCATGCGGATGGATGGAAACATACATGAAAGCCCAGTGGGATGGTCCAGCCTCGACGACTTGCAAGTCAAGACTGCGTGCTTTTTAATCTAAAATATGTGGAGCCGAACATGTCAAAGGGCATGATGATTGATGTATGTTTTTCTTGTTGGCTTTTTGCATAACTTATCCGGGGAAGAAAGAAAAAGAAGAAGAAAGAGAATAATAATATTTAAAAAAACAGAGTATTTGGAATCTACAGTGTTTTCTAAATTTTTATATAATTTTAAATATTTGAAATATTATTATCATATTTTTTTTAATTCAAAATAGTTATAACTTAAAATTATTTTTTTTTAAAAAAAAAAATATTTTTTAATAAAACTTTTGTAAAAATATCAATAAATTTATCTTTGATGCATTAATCCATTTGAATTTCTCATTTATCAATCAGTTTACGAATAAAATGATATCGAACTTCGATATGTTTAGTGCGCTAGTGAAAGACATGATTTATCGTTGTTGAAATAGTAGACTTATTATTGTAGTAGATTTTAGTCCGTTCATCTTATTTTTCTTGAATATCTATTAGAATATTTCAAAGTCAAATTATTTGACATGTTCTACTTATAGTGGTAATATACTTTACCTCAAAGCTTCATAGAGCAACACAAAATTTGAAATATGTTTTCTATAATTTATACAACCTTACTAAAAGTATAATAGCATAAGTTAAAATCTTTTACCTGATTATAACGAATATCATAATTGAGAGCTTCCTTATTATATATCTAAGAACATTTTAGCTGTCTTTAGGAACTTATCGATGCTTAATGATTTTTTACTTCATCCATCAAGATCAATAATTTTTTTCCCATCGATCCTTGTCAAAACCCAACTTAATAAAGATAGGGTTTTTTTTTCTTTTTTTAAGACAGTTGCCGCATATATTGCAACTCCTTTACAAACTTTAACCTCTCTCCTCATACTTTATTATAAGTAAGTCTTTTGTTTCACTTCTTTAATCTTTTCATATTCTTTTTGTATTTATCTTCTACTGCAAGCTTGTTATCATCGGAGTTTAGGATATCATCCTTTTCATGTACATGCATTTTATTAATTACAATTTTCTAATTACTATGACCGATACTATGATATTTCATCTCATAGCTTTCATGTGAGATACTTTACATAAATCCATAAAAATTCAAATGATTATAGTTTTTATGCCATAATATTGATACATCAGTAATACATGTGAATGCATTGATAGAGAAATTCAAAAATAATAAGGGAAATGCTTTGTTTTATGTTATCCTGATAATTGCTATCAATTTTTTTAATTTTCTTATTGTAAATCAAATTTTTTTTATTATAAAAATAGTATAATATCTTTTTATCATCGATTGCTATATATTAATGAGATTTAATTTTAATACAGGAATAAACATCATATCATCAATAAATTTTTTATTAGATTTAGTGTTCACAATAATGATTTCTTTTTCTTCCCCCTAAACCTTGCTATCATTTTATATCTATACCGTAGATTTGATTGAATAATTAAGCCTTTAAAATAAACTTTTATCCTCAGTTATATAATTATTTTATCCACTATTCAAAAACCAAATAGTTTTAAAATATTCTTCATCAGATACTTGAAAAAAAATATTTTCTTCATACTCTTTTCATTATTTTTTTTAATGATAATTTGCTTGATTTTTATTCTAACATTCTTTTTCAAGATGATTATATTTTGTACAATGAGAATAGAGAGAAATATTTATATTTTATTTTTTATACTAGTAATTTTTTAATATATCTTTTTTTATAATAAAATTATTAACGAGTTTCTTTATTATCTTCATTAGAGTTCCTCTAACCATCATTTGATTAGTCTCGCCCCTACCTCGAGCATCATATCATTCACGATTTCTACCGTATTGATCTCTCACTTGAGATTTAGTTTGTGAAAAAAAAAATTGATCCTTTTTTTTATTAATTATTATTTAAAAAATATGTTCCGAAGTTTCATTTAAAGATCTATTCATTTTTTATTTATGAACTAAAAGTAGACCTACTAATTCATCAACATACAGTATACTTATATCTTTAGCTTCTTCTATAACAGTTTGATCTTTTAGATTTTCGTTATAAGTCCTCGTTTGATTAGACTTTTGAGAAACAAATCGAGAGGTTCAAAATCTTTCATAAGTTTCAAATTCACATCAAAAGATTTAAAACCTTAAAATTACTTTGTTCGTGCCTCTAAACATATATTTTTATATTTTTTAAAATTTTGTTATTATTGATGTTATCATGATTCGAGAAAATAGGGACTCGTCTATTGCTTGTTGTAGCATATAGAGGGCTCTTACTTTTTTCTATATATTCTCATTTATTTATTTTTTATTTTTATCTTAAGGAATATTATGATCTTGTATATCATCGTCAACAAAATCATTCTCAATCGAATTTTATAATCCTCATGAAATAAATAGAGTTTTCATTTTAATTATCCAAAATTAATAATTTTCACCTTTAAAGATAGGAAGAAGTTTACTATGAATACTTACTCTAATACTTGCTATCTTTTTTTTTTCCCTTAGATATCTTTTTTAATTAATATAAATCTGTTGACTTCATGTAGAGATTTAGAGAAAAGGGGAACAAAATAGCAAAAGTAATTAAGAATACTTTTGATCTATAATCCTTTCGATTCATCAAAGAACACCTTATCCAAAAATAAAATAAAATTTTAAAAATAATAAAAAAATCAATCATATCCCAATAAATATTTTCACCGTCATCTATTTATTTTAATCTAAATTTTTTTATTTGAATTAATCTTATAACTTATTCTATCAAGCGATGCAATGCGCTGCTGCTATGGGATCATCACAGCCAAACCAGTTGTTAGTCTAATCGAAATCCTGATCCTGATAATTAAGAGCTCATCACCCTAAGGCCCGAGACAGACATCACACGGGTCATTGGCCCACGATGAAGATAAGCAGAAGAAGAAGAACATACAGAGTAACGAACGTGAAATAAGAACCACACAGAGTCAACCATACGGCATTGCATGTCTCATCGCCGCTATTCTTGATCCTCCGGAACCACATCGAAAGCACCAACCGCGTGGAACGTATGTATGCGGTTGGGACAAAAAAGGAAAGCACAAGCAAAAGAAGCTGCATGGTTAAATTTATCGGCGGCCACCCAAACATTTTGGATCCTCGAACATTAATTTCATTCTTGTTTCCGAAAAAGGATCATCTTCGAGCCATCCATCCCAAAGATCCGACCTGTACAAATACCATCAAGCAAGATCAACCCTACACGATTCACCAAGTCAAGGATGCTGCGCTTTTTTTGTGTCTTCTTCTCATTCATCACGTCATGCAACAACACCGGAAACAACCCCCAAAAATTGGGCAAAAGAAAACAAAGCAGCAGCAGCCTTCGAGTAGGAAAGAAACTCCACGTACAGCTCATTCCTTCAAAAACTGGCTGAGCGGCAATCCGGACATGGTGAAGTAAGAAGCAAGATCCACTTGCAGGTCATCGTACATGCTCAGGAAGGGATGTTTCTGGCTCCACAAATGCACCATGTGAGAGGAAGAATAGTAGCGTCCTCTGCCTCTTCCGCAAAGGAATATACGTGAATTGAGCAAATCAGATACGCCACTTACCAGAAGCAGCCGTGCAGTTTTTCTATCCTTGGGCTTTTTCTGTAAACTGAAACCAAAAACTATCTCAAATTCTCGGTAGATGACGAAGAATTCGCAAGCACATTACGGAGTCGATATGGAGCAGCATGTTTACCATTCAGAAATGAATGAGCAAAACTCCTCGGAGAAGTGTTCTGGAGGAGCACAGGGCGGTGGCTGTTCGACTATCATATCCAAAAGCTCGTAGAAACTATCACAACGTGGATAAGGAAACTGGCCCGTAGCGCATTCCAACACAACCAGACCAAAGCTCCAAATATCACTTATGTAGCCATGTGTCTGTGAAGCTATTCGTTCTGGCTATCAAAGAAATGGAAGAAAAAAAGGGAAACGATGAGGGCAGGTTCTAAGCTTACGAGACTCCTCGATTTTTAGAGGAATTTCCAAAACGAAAGCAACGCAAGATGAAAAGGAAATTTGATTCCAACGACGACGACTCACAGACATGTAATTGTAAGTGCCGATAAAGGTATCTCGTTGACCAGACGAGCTTGCGATTATAGCACTGACACCAAAGTCAGATATCTTAACCTCCCCTCTGTGATTGATCAGAATGTTTGACGGCTTCAGGTCTCGGTGTATGATGCGCTTTTCATGGTGCAAATAGATCAATCCTTGAAGAACCTACAAGAAAAACATGCACACGTTTCTTTTAATTCGAAAGAAAATAACTGCGTGCCCCACTCAACACTGACCTGCTTACAGATTGCCGCAAGATACGGCTCTGGAATGGTTTTCACGCTGTTCAAAAAATCAGCAAGGGAGCCTCCATCCATGTACTCCAACACTATAGAGATGACACCATTGTAGTAGAAGCACTGGTAGCATGCAACGACGCATGGGCACTGGGTCGACAGGCTTATCCTGAGTTCCTGAGCAATTTGCTTGCGTACGCTGTCTTGAATGTTCAGTTCTATAACCTGAACATTAGCTTCTATGTGAGCCATCTCGAGCTTATACATTAGAAAAGTGGATGAAAAGCTTCTCGATGGCAATAAGAATACTACAGTTTTATGTGCGATTCCTACTGCTACTACTCCTTGGAGTCACCAGATGAAAAAGAAAAACCACAGATCAAAAGTGTTGGATCACAATAATATTGAACAGATTGATAACAGGCCTTCCTTTGCAGCATGCATACCTTGAGAGCAAAAAATTGGCCCGTCCATTTGTGGCGGACCAGCTGCACAATTCCACCGCTACCTTTCCCGATCACTTTAACCGTGTCTACATCATCTAAACTCAACTGATTAACTATCGGCTTTATAAGAGATTGCTGCACACAATCGACGCACAACATCGTAATAAGAAGTCAGAATAACACATACCACAAGTGCCGCACATATTGATGAGAGAATAAAGTTGCCACGTTTGTCGGAATGATAAGGTCAACAATGGTCGCACATGTCATAATAACATTATCTTAAAAAATATGACAGAACTAAACCACTTGATTTATCTTTCACCTAAACGTCGTAGATAATTTCTTATCTTTCATGTACTCGATGATCGAAATTTCCATCGAACCTTCAAACCTAATTCAACTCTCAAATAGATATATTTCTTCATCGGATACTTTATTCCTGATTCCATTTTCTTAGCTAACCGAGGCTGTATGGTCTCTCCGATCTATGGTCTTCTAAATTGGAGGTCGCATATCATGAATTCTAAACTCCCAGTCCCAGTTCCATATCCCACATCAAGAGATAACAGATAGATAGATGAACAGATACCCAAAAGAAAGAAAGATGAAAAAGAGCAAAGATTCGCTTTTGCAAGCGAGCTTCATAATTACCCCGTCTTCTTCGCTGTGAGAGAGGATCCGAAGCCCGTCCTTATTCACGAGAAGATCCCCGTCCTTGAACGTTCCACTCTGAGTCCTGCAACCACCGAACGAAGGCTTTCAAACAGAACAAGGAAGAAAGCGGCAAGCTGGACGGACAAGGGAGACGAAGAAATGTATGCACACGTAGATGGAGAGAGAGAGGAGATCGTTACAGGAACTGGCTAATGGAGGCCTCGTGGCTCGGGAGAGACAGCCTGAGGTCGGGATTGAGGCCGCCCCTCCTCATCGGGAAGCACGGCAGCACTGATTTACTTTTATTTTGTTTTCCTTTTGTCCGAACACAGCTCCCAACGAAGGCGACCGAGGGAAGGTGGTGATCAGGCGGAGGGAGCGAGGAGGAGCAAAGAGGAACTGATGCGTGGGTGAACTGATGGGGGCGTCGGAGGTTGAAAGAACTGGCACAAAAGTTCTCGACGGAAAATATGACCATGGATATCTAAATGGACGGCTGCGATTGTACCCGTGTTGGATGACTTCGATTGCGGGCTGCAAGAAAAATCTTAATTTTCGCACGAGGAGGCGGCTGCTGGGTCGTGGATTTCCACTTGCAGAGGTCTCTCTCTCTCTCTCTCTCTCTCTCTCTTATTTTATTTCTTGCATAGGCCTTTATGGTTGGAAGATTGACCCCAACCGATTGTGGAAGTGGATGGCAAGCAAAGAAAATGTGTTAGCCATGAATCAAATGGTGTCAAATATTAGTGACGTGTTTTCGTGAGACAACACCAACAGGATACTCCAATGCTCGAAGTCAGTCGGCTCCAAGCTTAGTCATTCACGCTCGTGGTTTGTGCCTTTGGAAATTGGTAAAATGGATCGAAGCTTAGTTATTCACGCTCATAGCTTGTTCGTACTGTAGATAGAAATTTTCATTATTTTATCGAGAAAAATTCTATCTTCTGTATAAATAAGAAAAATATATCAATAAATTTTAATGAAAAATATATCTCAATCTGGCTCGACTCGTGTTAGTGACTCTCTGTTGCATATACCAACAATACAACTTCACAATCTCAGTCTTTCGACATCCAACGACAAAATACTTTAAGAGTGGTATTTTTAAGTAACGTCAAATCTTTGACCTACATGTTATCATAAAATCCTCACCTAAAACTATTGAACCCACCACATTCACTAAGTCTAAAAATCCTCTTGGCATAAAACTATGTGTGAAGAATATGATGTTTTTCTCCATAACTCGACATGTACCATTGTACCCTTTCATCACACATAAAATATTATTGGGTGTAAGTTGATTTTTCGAATTAAACGGAATCTAAATGGATCCATTGCTATATATAAAGCATGACTAATCATCAAACGGTTTCATCAACGACCTGGTATTGAATTCACTAAGACATTTAGCCTCGTTGTTAAACCTACAATAATATGACTTATCCTGAGTTTGACCATCACTAAAGGCTGGCTGTTACAACAATTAGATATTAACAATATCTTTCTACAATGAACTCTAACTGAATGCGTCTTTATGCAACAACCTCCTAGTTTCATTTATCCTAAATATTCAATGCATATTTGTAAACTATAAAAAGTTATTTATGAATTTTGTCATGCTCCAAGAGCTTGATACACTGAACTTAACTCATTTTTTTACTTCAACTAGTTTTATCAACTTCAAGTCTAGTACCTCATTATTCCTACAATGACAAAATGGAGGCACAAAATATTTTCTGGTGTATATGGATGACATTATTGTTATGGGTAATAATTCTATAAAAATCTAAGCATTCATCAAATAATTGACAAATTGATTCTCCCTTAAAGATTTAGGAACCTTGAGCTACTTTTTGGGAGTGCAAGCAACATATACATCTTCAAATTTTTTCCTATCACAAAAAAATATATTTAATATTTATTATTAAAGACCAAATGCATGACGCAAAAGATGTTATAACTGCCCTCTCTACTGATGAATCACTCAAATTATGTGGTGAAAGTCTTGCTACGGAACTCACTGAATACTGACAAGTAGTTGGCTCTTTATAGTACTTATCTCTCACTTATCCAGACATCTCATTTGTGGTTAATAAATTATTACAAATTATGAATCGACCATCTACTATGTATTGGTCCGTAGTCAAATAAATCCTATGATATCTTAATCATCTTTTTCTTCATAAACACTCTTCATTTCATCTCTATGCATTTGTCATATTGATTGAGCAAGAGAGATAATCGAATCAGTTGGAGTTCTAAGAAACAAATGACAAATGCATAGTCTACAACTGAAATTGAATATCGTGTCATCGTTACCGCTGCTACAAAACTCAATTGGGTCACGAATATGTTCGAGGAACGCAATATCGACTCCACTCTTGCCTATATAATCTATTGTGATAATGTAAGAACTACATATCTATACGTCAATCTAGTGTTTCACTCTCGTATGAAATATATTACAATCGATATTTTACTTTGTGCGAGATTAAGTTATTCGATATCAACTACGTGTTTCTCACGTATATATGGTTGATCAACTAATAAACTCACTCATGAAGTCTCTCGCCCATAAACTTTTTTCAATGTATCGGTCCAAGATCGATATCCTTGACAGGAGACCATCTTGTAGGGGGCATGATAGTAAATAAGATTTTTTTAAATGCATAAGAAAGTCTCGTTATTTTGTTAGAAAAAATATTTCTTCTAACCTATTTATAAATAGGGAGAACATATACGAAAAACATATCTTCTATCGGATTGGATGATTTCAAGTCAACGGAAGACCAGCTCTACCAAGCCATGCGTTGCTCCCAAGCAAGACTTTGGCATCGACCTCGGATTTTTCCGAGGATTGGACGACTCCAAGTCGACGGAAGACCAGCTCTGCCAAGCCATGAGTTACTCCGAAGCAGGTCTTGACATCGACCTCGGACCTTTCCCACTGTTGCTTCTCATTTCCTCCTCCTATAAGACGTGAGAATGCTTTATTTCAGCTCCTAAACTATTGTAGCCCGCGTAGTCAATAAATATAGACGCAAAGTCTGACCTCACAACGTGTTTAAGCCATCGGGTGGGTCTCCTTTTCCCCGGTCTTCACCTCTTCACCTGTGGTGGTAATTATCCGGACAGGCTTTATCAAGGACACAAGATTAGCGCGCGCAATTCCCACCACCATATCCAACGGCGCTGTTCGGCCTGATGACCCCCCCAAAGAAGTTTGACGAATGGCTTAATTGCAATGACGCCAGTGATGACAAGATGCTTATGAATGCGCTGCAGCCTCCAATATAAGAATGGAAAATACCACATCGCCTTTGCCCGCTTCGCCCTCCTCGTGTTCCCAACTATCATTTTCCATTGCGGTAACTCTGGAAAATACCAGATACTGTATATGAAGAGAACAGCACCCTGTACCAACCAGAGCGAATAATACAAATGAATCTACGTATAGACATGACGCACCTTTAATTGGGAGCCGTGCTTCTTGATCCAGTGGATCGCACAAACAGTTCTAAGAATCAAAGAATTTCCACCCCCACCACTAGAACATCCTTTGACTGCAGCTAGCCTACAGCAAAAAGAGAACCGAATCACCTTCCTTGGTGCCTACTCCAATAATGGAAATCTTCAGCTTACTAAACCAAAAAAGTGGTGCCAAAGCCCTTTCCTCTGCCCCATCTTCACCTAATTAAACAACCAGCAGCGTGGTTAATGGTTCTCTAAGAAGAAAGAAGAAGAGATCGTCATGATCACGTCAGATCCTAATGTGTACATCTAGATTATCTTGCTCTGTTGGTTCGCCATCTCCTTCGGTTTCTTACAAAGGCAGATGTCCTTTGGTGCAACTGGTCCGTTATCCATTGTAGCTTAAGAAGATGAACATATACAAAAAAAAGTTCTCACGCCTGTGTACGTATTGCGAAATGATTGGTTGGAGGGAGAGGTGGCTGTTGTTTTGAGTTCTTCGAATCATACAGGGCATCGATATGTGTCGAGAGAGGAGATGGTTAATAATAATAATGTGGTCGAGTGGTCGGAGAGGTGGCAGTTGTTTTGGGTGTCCCTTGATTCTATTGCTCAGCGACATGCAGGTTTCAACTCCAAAAAGCCTCGAGGGTCGGAGAAGGCGGCTCCAAGAAACGATACCAATTACAAGTGCCCCATCGCAACAAGTCGCAGCAAACCAAGCCACCGCGCTTGCTTTGAGGGAGAACATATATATTCTCGACCGGCCAAAGTCGTAGGTGTGTTAGTATAGCCACATTATTCCATCTCCTCAAAATGCGTTCTTAGTTGCGACTCAAACAGTTCACTTCTGCTACTGCGGCCCTCTTTCCCATAAAATCAGGCACGTTAACCACTGTGTTGTGTGGAAAAGGCTTACAATAAAGCAGGGAGTCCCCCACAAACGCTCTCCAAGTCCATCCAACTCTACACATCGTCTTGCACCTCCGTCTCGTCTCCACCATCTCGTCTCAAGCTTTTGCAAGTCGCCATGGGCGTGAGCAACAACATCACGGCCTTGTTCAACTTCGTGGGCCTGCTGTGCTCCGTGCCCGTGATCGGCGCGGGCATTTGGCTGGCCTCCAAACAGGACAACGAGTGCGTCCGCCTCGCCCGGTGGCCCGTCATCATCCTCGGCGTGCTCGTCATGCTCGTCTCCCTTGCCGGCTTCGTCGGCGCCTACTGGAACAAGCAGGGCCTGCTCGCCGCCTACCTCTTCTGCATGGCCGCCCTCATCGTCCTCCTCCTCGCCCTCCTCATCTTCGCCTTCGCCGTCACTCGCCCCGACGGCTCCTACCCGGTCCCCGGCCGCGCCTACCGCGAGTACCGCCTCGGCGGCTTCTCCGTTTGGCTCCGCCATTACGTCGCCGACCAATGGCCTCAGATCCGCACCTGTCTCAGCTCTTCCGATGTTTGCCAGAAATTTGGCAGGAATCAGCCCTACCTCACCGCCTATCAGTTCTTTCGGACCGACCTCACACCTCTCCAGGCCAGTATTAATTTTCTTTCCTCGTTCCTCTTGGTTCTTACGGTATGCAGTAGTCTACTTGTCAGTAGGATCAGGTTGTCTGGTCATAAACAATTACCACCTAGCATATAATTACGGATCTAAAGATGCTTGCAAGAATTCCAAAACAATCTCAGTCGCCTTTCGCCGACACCATATCAACACGAAAGAATTCATTTGATGCCTTTGCCATCACAATCAAGAACATGTGCCACTGCTACAAAATTCGATGATTCTGTCGTGCTAATACCTGCATGCCATCGTTTCGGAATCCAACTCTACTTGCAGTCAGGATGCTGTAAACCACCGACGGTGTGTGGATATGGGTACGTGAACCCGACAATGTGGAACAATCCCAGTAACCCCATGGCGGACGTGGACTGCGCTATCTGGAGCAACGACCAGAGCCAGCTCTGCTACGACTGCAGCTCGTGCGAGGCCGGGCTGCTGGGCAACCTGCGGAAGGAATGGCGCAAGGCCAATGTCGCGCTCATCATCGCCGCCGTCGTGCTCATCTGGGTCTACATCATCGGCTGCAGCGCTTTCAAGAATGCGCAGGCCCAGGATCTCTTCCGCCGCTACAAGCAGGGCTTCGTCTGACTTATTCCGTCGTTGACGGCCGCATTGCTTCAAGTTCCGCCGCTCTGTCATCAGTTCCCCATCTCACTGTAAATTTGTAGCAAGTGCATTGCGACTCGTATGAAGTTGGACGGTATCCTCTTTCGTGTTAAATCCCCCTTTTGAATGGATATATGGTGGTGGCAATGAAATGACGCTGTCGATAGAAGAGAATAGTACTGCTCAGAACACACGCTGGACGGACGGTCTCTGCTATCGCGTTTGGCCTCCGCAGAGAAAGCGTCGTTGCCAGTGAAAACAAATCCACTCTACCATAGAAGGCTTTTGCCCATGTCAAAGCCACATCGCGTCTGCTGCCCTCCACAGTCTGCCCTTCTCTTGTCCTCCACCACTTGGGTCTAATTCTGACAATGGTTTTGGGCTGCACTTGTTTCCGTGAAGTCAACTCAATGCCCAAAAGGTCCGGGTTATTTAGCTTCCACTCATTGTGTCCCAAAGCTTCGTCCATCGGAGGAGACGAGAGGGAGAGGGAGAGGGAGGGAGAGAAGCAGAACAGTCACTGGAACAGAGACAAACCAGTCAACGCACGGTGAACCGACCCATATAAGTCATCTCTCACCAGATTAAACGGTAGTGGAGTGAAGAGAGCGAGCGAGAGAGAGAGAGAGAGAGGGGAACGGGATCGGACTATTTTTATTATGTCGTACTATCTTTGATTTAAATTTTAAATGGTCACACGGCAGTGTCGGGTGGGCCCCTCTGTTCCCATAAACCTTGACCATTCGTGTATCAAAAGAATACACGATTCCTGTTGCTATTTGTCAAAGTAAACTGATTAGGACGATTACGATAACATAAAGTAAAAGGGTCCACGTCACAATTTTATATATTTTTTATTCTTCTTTCTTGTTAATTCGATCAATCACAAAGTAATGTCAAACATAAGATTAGGGTTAAAGGAAAACAAAACTCTTACGCCTTAATCCAGACTAATTACCTACCATTTCCGTGGTTGACCCTTTTTAGCATCCAAATTTTTGGACTTTTAAAAATCATATTTGGTCCCTATAACTTTAAAATTATTATATTTTATTTTATTTTTTTAATCATGCCGTCAGTTTTTTTACGAAAATCTATAACACTTATAGAATTGATACCAAAATTAAGGGTAAAATGGTCAATACAAGAAGACGGAGCATTGATTTTTACTCGAATTAAAACCCCAAAGTGAGGACGACGCAAAGGTCGAAAACCCCAACCTGCTGCCTCTTGTTGAGGAGACCATCCTCTGCATCCCGGACACCATCTTCCACCTCATCGACCGCCACCGTCGAGCTCGGCGCTCAAGACCTTCTCCCTCGTACCTAGCGAACCTTTCATTCATCTTTGACTTCTAGTTGGGCTTGATGTGGTGTATGACACAGAGGCCGAATAAGAGGAAGAGTAGAAGGAGGTGGATAAAGACTCGACTATGAAAGCGGATCTTCTTGACCATAGCAGCCCAAGAAACGATCTTGGCGAATATGATCGGAACCGCCGGTAGTGGTATTGGGCTCAATCATCTCCTCCACTTCCCTCGGGAAGTGGAGTTTGTACCGATCGCTGCTCCGATGGCAGTCTCATTTCATTGTTGAGGGAATCGAGCTGCCGCATCTACCACCCAACACTGCCAAGAACGTTGACTTCCACTGGGGTGCGAGGGAGTGGAAAGGGCTGTGATGAGAGGGAGTGATCACCACCTCCGTCGCCGAGTGCTCCGCCAGTCACAACGTGGTGCAAAAGCTCAAACTTTTAAACACCTTGTCAGTCGAGGTTCACGGCCACCTTAAACCTCTGTGCATAGTCAAGCTCCTCGCCTCTGCTCTCGCACCTCTGAGGAGCCACGATAAAATAACCTTCCGATGCCGATCAGGAGGCGAGATTTCTGCCTCCCACATCGTCTCGGTCAGTAGCAGCGAGCCTCCCGACGATACAGGGCCCTCGCGGTCGAGCGAGACTTAAATCCAAGCGACCCTGCCACCGACTGGGAATGATAGCTCCTCTACGATTCTCAAGGGATTCCATCGAAATAACCCTCGTGCCTAACCTAGAGGACTATAACAGTTCGATGGCAAAATTGATCGCTAAGAGTTCCGGACAGCTCATTAGGGGGATCTTGTGGGGCGGCGAGGATGCGATGGTGTATCAGCTCAAGTAAGAGGAGGATCTACTGAATGGGAGATTGATATTAACGTGGGTAAAAGTCAACTCTTTCTTATATTGACCATTTTACCTTTACTTTGGAAATTAATTCCGCAAGTGATTAAGGATACAAACCGCGTGATTAAAAATAAAATAAATTATAGTAATTTTAAAATTATAGAGACCCAAATATAATATTTAAAAATTCAGAAATCCCGATGCTAAAAGCGATCAACTGTTTGTCGCACATAATAGCTTCCCCAGCCCACGAAGTGTCGATGAGATGACCGACTAAGCATCTCTTATATCGTCGGTCCATCAATCAGCCTGCCTCCCTCGATTCGGAGGCCCTCTTCTCTCCTCACTACCATTTGCCGCAGTGCCCACCTCCGCCTCTTTCCTTCCTGCTCTCTCCTCGAATTGAAGGCGAACACCAGATTTTAATATCATAAATCGGCATTTTTTGGGGGGAGGGAACTCCAATCGATGAGCCGCTACGACAGCCGCGCCGCCGACCCCGGTTCCTACCGCGACCGGAGAAGGTAATCCTAAAGCTCTGCACCTAACCCCTAACCCTAACCCTAACCCTAACCGAAGGACACATGAAATATTAGGGATTCATCTATTTTTCGATCTCAAATCAGCGATGCAGGATTCGGCGGGAGTTCACAGAGCTACAGCAGGGGATTCGAGCCCTCCGGCAAGCGAGACGCGGGGGCCACCGGCGACCTGGATGGGCTGCTCACTCCCTTCGAGAAGAACTTCTACGTAGAGGCCCCCTCCGTGGCTGCTATGACCGAGGAGGAGGTGGAGGCGTACCGCCGGAAGAGGGAGATCACCGTCGAGGGCCGTGATGTGCCAAAACCCGTCAGAGAGTTCCAGGACATCGGTTTCCCAGGTTCTTATTGCTATTCTACCATGTTGCAAGATTCCGTGCCTAGGATTGTACTTGGATCCCGTGTTCGTATCTTTCTGCTTCGTAGCAAAGATTTGGTATGATCGTTCACGCCTGCACCCAAAGGGGATGTTTCTCCTCTAGTCAGATTAGGATTTAGAGAATTTATTCCATGCTGCCTTCTGCCCCTGCACCGAGTATACCTGATGTGTTGTAATCTTAGGTAGCAAGATGTATAGGTTGTGCTGTCAGTTCTATCACATGGTTTGGTCATACTAAATTTTCAAGAATATGTTGATTTCACATCTTTTCTGAGAAGTAACACCACATCAAGATGTGACCTTCGTGCGTGTGGTGCCGCAGACTGAGGCTCCACTCTAGGTAGTCTAAACCTTCACCACTTGGAGTTTTTCATTTGTCTTAACTATTTCTCTTACATGATTTTAGGCCTGTCTGTAGAAACAAGTCGGCTAGCCACATGGATCATTTGCCACTGTGGTATTCTCACCAAGTAAACAAAACTTGCTATCCTCTTATATTTTTTCACCTAATCGACCAACGACTCTCTGCAAGAACAATCATTTTTGTTCATGTTTCATGGTACTAGATATCCACTTAGTTGTCCCACAGCCCCACCTTTGTTGGATTAATTTTTCTTCTCTTTAGAATATGTCCAATAGTTTTTCTAAGAAGTAAATAACTTCTATGATGTATCTACATGACATAAAGCTAAGCTGGGTTATTGAACTTTTCTTTTAAAATTGTATTTCTTTTTAGATAAGTTGTGATGTCCCAATTATTTGGGGTGTTATTCTTCTATATATGTTTTGAAATATTCATCTTCTTTTGGTCATTTTTTTTAAAATATCAATTCAGTAAAATAGTTCGCTATTCAAACCCTTACCAGCAAAAAAATCCATAATATGTATCATCAAAATTCCTGCACATTGTTTTCTCATGATTTCTTTTTGTATTGTTACTTTGGCTTCAAAACTTGGTTATGCATCATCAAATAAGGTCCTTGGTTTATAGTTCCATTAAATAAGTTTGAAGTGACTCTTTCACCTTGCTTCAACCATAATGTCTTATATTACCATGCATTTGACATTTATTGTTTGGGGCCCATAAAACCTCATTGTTCGTTTTCTTAGTTTAGACTTCTATTGCCTTTATCTTAACCTGTTATTCATAGTTACGTTAGCCTAACTGACAATATTTTGGACTTTTATTGGGTCTATTTTATATTTCATCCATAGCATTTGTTTATTACTCCAAGCATGAAAATATTTGTCAGTTTGGTAGTAACAGTTTCAAACACAGGGAAGCTATTGATCAAGTTGCTATCTGTCTAGTGTAATCAATTATCAATATGGCTATTTTTGCTTAAGTTTACGCACCAGACAAAATGTTAGCATCTTCTTATACAAGATGTGCAAATTCTATTCATATAAACTCATTTCCATTAACAGAAGTACTTCAGGTTATCAGTTTTACATTAGTTTAAATTTGGAAGCCCAAACCATGATGACCTAACGACAAAGTTTAGTCTGAATAATTGTGTCATTACTAAACAGGTTATGAGAGGATATAGCTTGTGGATGGACTTGTGCCTGTGTTCAAAATTAGGGGAACTATTCTGGTGAAATTGTAGGTTGTTGACCCTATTCATCTTTTTCTTCCTTACTCTGGCCATATTCAATTATTTATTTAGCTACAAGCATCCAATTACAATATTTTCACTGATCCCTCTCATGTAGCTTTTACATGGTATACAAGCTTTTGTGGATTTATCCTATAATGTGGGTTTTATGAAATTAGTCAATGCACGAGATTCCTACAAATTTGAGGTTTGAGAAGAGCCTTTGCTTACAGAGATTTTGTTTTTGTGAATCTGACACTCATGTCGAGTAGGAGCAATCTTCCTGTGATGCAAGGCCCTCACATTATGTGCCTTTTTTATCCACTCTTATATATTTGCCCAGTACACTATAGCATCAAATCAGAAGCTTTCTGAGTAGTTCCATAAATATGTGCTTATACTAGAATTTGTTTGCTCCTTTTTTTCACTGGACATGCTCTTGTAAATGGAATTATCTTCCTATTTCTTTGAGTCCCATCCTGTACGACATGGTCTGAGATCAAGCTGGTCCAAGAAAGTTCTTGTTTGTTGGTGACTAAAATTTTTGTTGTTTTATTGTTGACTTTCCAGAATATGTTATGCAAGAAATTGAAAAGGCTGGATTTGTAGAGCCTACTCCTATACAAGCACAAGGATGGCCAATGGCTTTGAAGGGTCGTGACCTCATTGGTATTGCTGAAACTGGATCTGGAAAGACGCTAGCTTATTTGTTACCTGCCATTATCCATGTTAATGCTCAGCCAGTTTTAGGTATACAGATCCAGCATTTTTTGCTTGAACATGCATTAGATATGCTTGTTGTCAGTGCATGCACTAATCAATTTGTTTCCGGTATGTGATTTTTTTGAAGCTCCTGGTGATGGTCCAATTGTTCTGGTTTTGGCTCCAACTCGTGAACTTGCTGTTCAGATACAACAAGAAGCGACTAAGTTTGGAGCATCCTCAAAGATAAAGAACACTTGTATATATGGTGGGGTTCCAAAGGGTCCTCAAGTTCGAGATCTTCAAAAAGGTGCACTGATGTCATGCTATTTCCTTTTTGTTCTTTAGGAAAAAAAAGTCCCATTGTTTGATTGAAAACCATTAAAAGGTGCACTGATGTCTTGTTACTTCCTTTTTGTTCTTTAGAAAAAAAATGTCCCATTATTTGATTGAAATCCGTTTAACCAATTTCCCCTTAAAAAAGTTGGGGAACCATTGTTGATAGAAAATCATACATGGACATCAGTCTTCTCTTAAAAGATATATAAAGAGTTGATTGGACAGATTGGGATTTCATAATAATATCTGATTTGGAATTTGGAGTGTGAAAGCCCTTTTTGTTATTTATCTATTATTTTCTGAAGAAATTTTATATTTTTGTATGGACAAAGATGAATATATGATTCTCTTACATGAATTAAATTTGTCAAACGCAAATTCTTTATCTTATTAAGCTATGAAACCATTACCTAGTTCCGCATTATGCAATATATTAATATACTGCTTCCTTCTATCAGGTGTTGAGATTGTTATTGCTACACCTGGACGTCTTATCGATATGTTGGAGTCACACCATACAAACTTAAGGAGGGTCACATATCTTGTTTTGGATGAGGCTGATCGAATGCTAGACATGGGCTTTGAACCTCAGATGCGGAAAATTATTTCCCAGGTATTTTGTTTTTTAAAATTTGTGCTTTTGTTCATTTTTCCTCTTCATGTATCAGGTGTCATTTTGGTTTTGTATACTTCTTTTCTATTTTACTTCAGAAATTGCTCTATTAAGTCTGGATCTTCTATGTAGATATTGTAATTTTATGGTTTCCTGAATCTTTTACTTTTAATTTGCAAAACGCCAGAAGTTAATTATAAGTCCCTTTGGAAAATATTGTATTAATTTCATCTGTTTATAGGTTTTATTTGGTTATTTGAGACTGTATCTCAGGTCATCACCATGATTTTCTGTTATCGTCCCCAGTTTTATCATTTTCTGTCATTGTGACTCCAGCATATTACCTTGTGTTTTTTTATTATCCAATTACTGCATTGCTTGATTAATATGAATTTGAAAAATATTACATTAATTAGTGGTAGTTTAGACCCTAAGTGATACAAGGGTATAGGTTTAGGCTTATCAATCTTGAAGGCTGATTTTTATTCTATTTTTGCTCCTTAATAGATTCGCCCAGATCGTCAGACCCTTTACTGGAGTGCTACTTGGCCCAAGGAGGTCGAACAACTTGCAAGGCAGTTTCTGTATAACCCATACAAGGTAATGTTTATGGCCAAACAAGGCAGTTCACAGGTGGGTTCGCTGCACTATATCTTCTTTACCACAATCTGACGGAATCAGCTATTCTCATGGTTCAGGTGATTATCGGTTCCATAGACTTGAAAGCTAATCATGCAATACACCAGCGTGTAGAGATTGTTTCAGAGAATCAGAAATATAACAAGTAGGATATCATTTATATTGGTGGTCCAGTGTGAGAGCAATTTTGGCATGTGATGAGAACTAACTTTTTCTTTGTCAGATTGGTCAAACTGCTGGAGGATATCATGGATGGTAGCCGAATTCTGATATTCATGGACACCAAGAAGGGTTGTGACCAGATCACAAGACAGCTACGAACTGATGGCTGGCCTGCTCTGTCTATTCATGGTGATAAAAGTCAAGCTGAAAGGGACTGGGTCCTTTCTGAATTTAAATCAGGGAAGAGTCCTATAATGACTGCTACTGATGTTGCTGCTCGTGGTTTGGGTATGACTTTGTTATAAGATATTCTAGTTAGCTTTTAGTGCAATATGCAATTTCTGATTTTATAGGGGATATTCTAGGTTTCTATCAGCTGAGCATTTACCTCTTTTCATGTGTGTGTGTGTGTGTTTTTTTTTAATTTCTGATTACAGATGTGAAGGACGTGAAATATGTGATCAACTATGACTTTCCTGGATCCTTGGAGGATTATGTGCATCGTATTGGGCGAACGGGAAGAGCTGGGGCCAAGGGAACTGCATATACCTTTTTCACTGCAGCTAATGCAAGATTTGCAAAAGATCTTATTAAAATATTAGAAGAAGCTGGGCAGAAAGTTAATCCCGAGCTGGCTAAAATGGGTCGCGGACCCCCTCCCCCAGCAGGTTAGTGTCTTTCACGCTTTTAACTTTCCAACAAGTTTCAAGTTTGCTACCTAAGCAAGTTGGGGCTCTTGCAGTCCTCTTATTACTGTATTGTGTAACTCAAGCTGACTATGTTCACTGGCACTGGTGGATATTATCTCATGCACTTTAATCTACATACTCTTATTAAGATCATAGCTGTTGCTAGTTGCTTAAGCACATGCCTCATTACTTGATGAGCTCATTACACTGCTGCTGGGAAAAGTACTCTCAACTTGAGTGGATAGTTACCAAGTTAAATATCTTTCCCTATCCATAGAATGATTTTTCAACTTGGGGATGCCTCTTATTTGGTGGTTCCGTTTTGATGATAACGAACCAGTTGAAATTTATCCGTATTCACTGGGTTTCAGGCTATACAATTTGACCGTTTTTCTTTTGGATAGGTCATGGTGGATTCCGAGATCGATATGGCAGCAGTCGCCAGTGGAGCTGACGTATGGAGATAAATGTTCTGTTGTTCAAATGTCACTAAATAGGATAGATCATCTTTCCACCAAGGCAACGCATCCATCTTCGAGTGGCTGAGGTGGAGCTGCGGCAAGCGAAAGACATCGTGTATGATGCATGTTTGGACACCCATTTTTGTTTTGATGAATGGCTGAATATTTGTCGAAGTTAGACAGCAATACATGTAATATTCGACCTATATGTAATTTGCTTCTTTTAAAGAGGACTTGGCCGAGTATTTTCAACACTGATGCCATTATCTTTACTCTACCATGTGTTTGGTAGCTGGTCGTATCAAACAATATTTTGTGTGTGGCTCATGCGATGGCATCCACATAATGGGGTCCTCGACGACAAGCGGCTATTATCGTATAAGTGAGCGAGTCTTGGCCCATGGTTTGCATTTAGACGACGGAAAACACCAGGAGAAATATCACGACGACCTGACCGACGATGAGGACCTCTAAATTCCGATCGCCACTAGGTTATGGCTTGCTTTCACATGTCGTGAGATGGTGAAAGAGTACGCCTTGCAACCCGTGGTCCGACGCAGAGTCGTACTCCACCCGTTTGTTCTTTTCGACCATGGCTACTGGCTAAGCGGCAGACACGAGGGATGACGGACGAATCGATTGCCTACTTATCTTCCCTGCTCTCGTATTATCGTCTTTAAAAGCAACCCTTTTTTTTTTTTTGGGACTTTCCCTTCGGATTTCGACAGTGTGGTATCGATTTGGCTCAAAAGTTGAAAGTCCAAACAAAGAAACGGAGTTTTCGAGAACTCCTAACTAGCCAACTCCGCAGTCCTCAACAGAGAGAGAGAGAGAGAGAGAGGGTCGATCCATGCGCACGGCTCCGATGAGAAGTGGGGCTCCACACCGTGCTCACCTGGGATCAGATAACCTGAAAGAGTTCAACTAGCTTGACGCACCGAGTCCACCAAGGACGACAGCCGTGCCAATGGTTCGTCGCTGCACTGGAAAGTTTTTTCCCACTGATCTCATGGTGTTGCGTTTTGAAAACAATCATACTGTGTAAAACGTGTCCCTTTCCTAATACCCGAATGAACACGCCTCAAGCATGCGAGAGAAGAATGGAGCTGGGAAACGAGGCGGATCCGTCGTTGGGTGCTCCCTTCAGGTTCAGGATGGAGGCGATCACGTTGTATATCTCCACATTCTCGAAAGATGGCACCTTGCGTCCCCTCTGGAACCGAGGGCCGTGACCTACGAAAATGCTCCTCATCGAGAAAAATGCATTGTCGTATCCATGCGCTCCTCCGCACTCGTTCCTCTTCGTTCTCTTCTGCTCCACCTTGTACCCTTCTTCCAACAGCCCGATGACGGGCGGAATCCTGTGGCTCTCCCGGTAATGCAGTCGCTCCGGTAAATCCTCTTTCAGATACATCTTCAGATAGTTCCCATGCTCGACCTTTCCCGACCCCAGCGCTTCATTCATCTTCGCTACCACGTCCGACGGGGCAACGCCGGCGGGCGGGCGAATCGCGAGCAGAGGACTCGTGGACTGGACCCAGTCCCGCGGGATCTTGATCCACGGAGATAGGTCATCCAGAAATATGAGCTTTTCATCGCAAGTGCCCACCATTCCGTGGTCACCTAATAGAATTATGGTCACGTCCTCAAAGATCCCTCTTTTCTCCAGCCCGGCGATCAATCTCCCGATCATGTCATCGATCCGAGCCACCGCGGCGGTGATCTCCGGATCGTCGGCACCGACCTTGTGGCCCTGCTCATCTGGGTCCTCGAAGTAGAGAGTCATGAACACAGGGATCTCGCTGCTCGGGAGATCGAAGTAGCTCAGAATGGCGTCGACGCGCTCCTCGAAGGGCACCGAACCGTCGTAGTGGCGGCAAAACCTGGGAGGGCAGTCCCAAGATCCCTTCTTGACCTCGGATCCGGGCCAGAAGACGGTGGCGGCATTGAACCCCTGGTCGACGGCGGTCTCCCAGAGCGGCTCTCCCAGCCACCACTCCGGCTCGTGGCTGCCCATATTGAAGGCGGCGCCGGACACCGGGTCGACGAAGTGGTTGTTGATGATACCGTGGTGGGCCGGATAGAGTCCGGTGACGATAGAATAGTGGTTGGGGAAGGTGAGGGAAGGGAAAACAGGGATAAGCCCGGTCTCCGCTTCGGTGCCATTGGCGATCAGGCGATGGATGTTGGGCGCGGCGGTTTTGAACTGGTAGCCGAAGCGGAACCCGTCGGAGGAGATGAGGAGGAGCACGGGGCGGGAGAGCCTGGAGAGTGGCCTCGCCTGACTCCGATGATCAAAGATGGGATCTTTGGCGGCAGCAGAGGAGGTAAAGAAGAGGAAGGCGAAGGCGGCGGCGGCGGCGACAGCCGTGCAGGTGGTGATGACGAGGGCTGAAAACAGGAAGGCGGTGTGGGGCCGGCGGAGGCCCGAAGGGGAGGCGTCGTCGGGGGTGGAGTAGGCGGAGAGGAGAGCGGTGGTTGTGTTGGGTGGGTCGTCTTCCGGGCGAGCGAGGATGGGTTCTCTAATGGCAGCAGCAGGAGGAGGAGGAGGGCCGGTAATGTTGAAGGGAACAGAAGTCATCGGTTTCTTAATCAGAATTCTGCCTTCTCTCTATCTCTCCCTCCCTCCTCTGTCCTTTCCCCCCCCGTTACAACCAATCATCCTAGGTTTGCTATATGGCGTGTATACTGAATGGTGGGGACGCGGGGGGAGAGGAGGGTGCATCGGGTTGTTGCGATAGGAACGGTTGACCGGCGGGATGGAGTTGTTGCGGTGTGCGAGGACGGATTAATGGAGACGGGGAAGAGTTGGTGTTCTGGATTATGACGGCGCTGACCGTAGGCGCGAGTGGATTTTGGCAGCAGAATAGAGGCGCTCATGGCAGAGGAGTTACGGTGCAGATACACGTACCTGTGGGACCCGCATCTGCTTTCGAGCACATGGACAGGTTTGACGCCTAGTAGTGTTTTCTGAGTTGTTTCTGGAAACCGAAGTGGAATCCACGTATCGATCGGAGAATGTTTGGTTCAACGTTGGCTGGTGGTCGATTCGTGGAGTGGACTCCGATGAACAATATTGATAATGCAAAAGAAAGTAAGTTCTGGTGCACGTCCTCGATAGGACGGCCCTCCCTCCTCGTCAACTTAAATAGCACATGTTGTGGATTAGAATTCCCAACCGGTGAACGAAAGGCTTCTCACGAAGAAAAACAAGAATTATCAAAAGAAAGAAAGGCTTCTCACGTCAAGTAAAAGCGAAGGCCGAGGTGTGGTGGACGAAAGGCATGCAATTATTACTGCTTATGGCTGCAGCTGCCATGTCGCGTCCCACTAGTTAGTTGTTTCGGAACTCTTGCCAGGGTGGTAAATAATTGCCGGCGGCCTCCGTGAGAGACCGTAACTCCACTCAAATCCGTCCGTCTAAATATGTGATCGATGGGTACATCATTATGCAGCACGCGCGTGGATGCGAGTGGTTGCTTTTAGCTGTCTGTCATGCATTGAATAGATTAGCCGCGGCCGCTCAACCACTTATCGTTTTTAATAAGGTTGCACTAATTGTGTCACCTCTGTATCTGATCTGTGTCATTCAATAGGCACATGGAGCATTTCCGTTCACACGGCCGATGGACCAATCGACCTTTGCCGGCGAATCCGTCTCTCTCATCGTCAGCCTGCATAAGGTAGCATAATATTCTTTTGGTAAGGCATCGGCGTTCAGGCTACACTAGCCAACTCAGTTTGGCGATGGCCAGGGCTCATCATCCAAGATCTAAACCATGCCAATGCATACATCTTCAACGCTCGACCTCCGACTGAAGGGCCAATCTTACCGGGAAGGTGATGTACACTGTATCTCTATGATTTGTTGCAATTCTCTCACCACCATACGCCACCAATGAACACACCCGCAGCAGTAACACAATGACAAACACATTGGCCACGGGAGTGAACCAACATAGAAGTACCATCGGAGGTACAAATCATAATGAATACTTTGTTGTCATTTTTCAGATGGGCATCATGACAAAAGAACATATTTCAATATTAGTACATGAAATCAAGTTCTCCCCAGTTTTGACTAACAATTGTCCTCTCAAAATGCAGGGATTGAGAAAGAAAGAAAGAAATTTAATTTTACAAAATCCAATTACATAATAGCATTAGTGTGCGTAGGAAACCAGATTTCAAATATCATATTTTGTTCTTCCGCTCCTCAAAATGAGACACAGCATATCAAAAAATATCATAATTGGATGCTAGATTCCTCTTCACCCAAAAAAGGGATAAAACAAAAGAAAACAAGGAATAAAATCTGGTGCAAAAGTCCTATGTATGTTTGTTCGTAAGCCAGAAACCTAACTGAAAATGGATAATAGTATAATTTCATGCAGTAAATTAAGAAAACAATGTATAATCGCTTAAAATATGCGAATAAAAACAACTGAAGCTCGTTATAAATTACTTGAACAGGATCTTACAATGTAGGAGCTGATTCTCTGAAGCAACAAATTTCCTTGTGAATAATCTCCCAGTATTGGTAATATTGTTGTGTTACTTCTGTTTATGGTAAAGTCAGAAGCAGGATCAGTCAATACAATTATGCTGCTTCTTGGTATTGACACCTGCAGTGTTCTAAAGATAAGAAAGCCAAGTTAAACAAACATCAAGTGCTCATACAATCTTCTAGCTCAGCAACTGAACAAAGGTAAAACTAGACTAAAACATCATCTGTGGTTCCAAAATGAGGTATTAGGATCAAAATATGGAGCTTCAAGATTATAATCTAGAGCTTCTCCAATTAATAAGGGCAGAAAAAGGACCTTAGTGAATGAATTTAAGAAATTAATAGATAAAAGTTAAACTGAATAACAACAGCAAACTACTGAAATAAAATCACAAAACTTCTCAGCCACTAAGAAGACAACATAATCAGGGATTTATTATAAATACCTTTGATCTGGAATAAGTCATGATTATATGATGAGATTCCATGAAAGGAGTAGAAAAAATCAGTTCAGATATTTTATTGCCTTTTATTACTTCTAAAGGAAAGTTGCAGCACGAGCCATCAAATATAGGCTTCATGGAATAATAAATACTTCAATTTATTGTATAACTTCACCAAATAAAAATTTTTAATGAGCACAAAGATGCAGCAACCTTTAAGAGACTAAAAAAAAAAGAGTGAATTTGTTCCATCTAAAGACTAACTGTATCTTATTGTATAATTCGAAAGGTATGTGATGCTTATATATGAACCGTTTCCCTGAAATTTCATAACATCCGATTAAGGAAGAAACAATGACTAGCATTAAGTTAACTGCATCTCACAACAGTTACTTTGAAAAAAGTTAAGAGATATCTGACCAAGTCAGAAACTAGTGAACAAAAACGAAACTTTTAGAGTAAAATACCTCTGATATAGCGAAGACATGGTAACAGCCTTTATGGCAAAATTTGGGCATCTAGTTTAATTTTTAAACATGTAATTAATTACCTGTATGAAATCGACGAGCACATTCAGAATGCCAATGGACCTTTCAGCTTTGCTATACGTACTGTTTGCAACAGTTACCATCACGTATCCTAGAAGAATCCGATCTAATGGAGTTGTTGTAGATTGTATAAACTGTTGCAAACGAAATGTCATCCCTAGTGTGAAGGTTCTGTTGTGAACTTGAAGCATGGATCTTATTGACAGCACTGAGCCCTGTGACAAGAGATACATAAGGAGGAAACTTAGATAGACTCATCTAATGGCGAGAGTTTTAATTGCAAAATCAGCAGAAGACATAAGCAAGAGGTTTAGAAGACATGCCTTGGCATTGGAGGCGGTCGGGCAGTCCCTGCCCAGCGGCAGGCCCGAGAACGAGGTGATCTGATTTATTGGTGGCGACTTCTCTTCGAAACTTGTGGGATCGGATTACTACGATGCAATTTTGAGACTGGAAATCAGCAAATAACAAGTATCAGAGCACGAGGGGTTATAGCGAGAGAGAGAGAGAGAGGATTGATGATGGGAAACAGACCTGAGAGGATCAGAGGAAGGAAGAGAGCGAGGGGGAGAAGGGAGAAGAAAAGAGGGCTCCTCCACCCTCTGCAGATCCCCATCGGCTGATCGATTCACACGGCTTTGGGCAGCAATCACCAGAATTCGGATTAGTGCTGCGCGCGCGCTCGCTATAGTGAGAGGATCGACAGATCTGTGAGGACGCCGTACACGTCAGCGAGCTTGCTTAAGTGGGTGGATTCAGTTCTCACGAGTTGGGCATTCGTCTTTCCATATACAAAAATGGGCCGTGATGGGCTTCGAATCATGTCGAATTGGATCGGGTGCCGACCGCAAAGACACGGGCTTTTCGAGACGTGGCTATCAGCACGCCCATATAGTCTGGTCGCAAGGCTGCCAAGAGATTGACGGTTGTGATATACTACGGCGCAAGTAAACCCTACACGATAATTATACTCTCTATCTCGCCATCAGTATTCATCAGATATGTGATAGGACGGTTGGATCCAAAGACAATATGTTGAACCACATGCTTGCCGCCCCGTTAAAATGAGGACGTGGAAATAATGCTGAACGACATCCAAGACGAGAGGAGATGCTCGGAAGTTTCCACTTTCCCCCACGCAATGCACAAATGCAATTCATCAGCCAGCCAGCCAGCCAGCCAATCTTGGCCAAACTGGCTTTCGCATGCAGCAGCTCACTCATCGATCGTCAACAAAGGCGTTTCTCCGTAATCCATAAGCTGTACATGCCTTTGCAGCCGCACGTTTGCAAATTCCTATTGAGGTATGTACCTTTCAGATGTCTCAAGTATATGGACCATGATGTCGACTGGAGAAGGAGAGAGGAAATGCAGAATGAAAAAGGAAAAAGGAGATCTAAAAGAAAAAAGTGACACACCAAAAGTTCATCGATCTAATTGGCCAGTCAAACCCGGCCACCATCGCATGTTATCCTCAGTAAACAACTCCCTGTTTAAATAGAAAAAAATGTACCCCCCCTCCTCATTCCCCCAGCTTTGAGCTTTTCATTCTACGGTGTGGCACCCAAGAAATATATACTCCCTCCTCCATGATAGCATGCACCTTTGGATATGCTTTATGGGCACCTTTACGTTGCCTTATTTACCTCATTTGACCCCATGTTGCTGCTTCTTGTTTGTCTCTCGAGCCATCGAACTGAAAAATAGAGATGGTCAAGATTGATGGGCCGGTGAAGAATGTGATGGAGTCTTCGTTTTTCCTTGTGCCAACGCATCGACGACGGCTTTGGTCACGGCTTCCTCGAACCTGCCCTCGTCCCAATCACTATCCTGTTGCACCAGAGACATTTCATTGTTAATAGGATTTAGATAAGACCTTTGATCCCCGAGATAAGAACAGGAGGTGTCAGCCGAGAGTTTCCCCCAGCTTGCTCACAACTGGATCCATCATTGGCTTCAACTTCCTAAGCAGCAGCCAGAGGAGGAGTTGTAGGTCATCATGCTTATTGAGCTGACAAACGAACAAGTACGATTGAAATGACCACAAGATTGTCAAATGTAGGAAGCTTGGTAGGCCCTTAGCTTGCGTTACATCGCTGTACAGCAGCTTTCGCTACATGGCTAATTTCTTTGTTTGAACAATCTTATTAATTATTATTGTTATTATACTTGTTATATTTGTTGGTCTTTAACACAGCCATTCACACAACCAGCCAACTAAACCTTTTACTCATCCGATACAGGCAGGACGCCTATCATTACGTGATCCACATGAAGATGAATGGTAGTATCTCCCGATACTACCATTTGCATTTAAACCTGCCACATAGTAAGTTTAGTGGAAGCATTAAGTCGCAATGCACAAGCAAAAATATAAAGAAATGTAGGAGCTTTCTTTATTCAATGAAATCTTTACTAATGTGCTGACGGAGTGAAATCGAATACGCGAAAACCGAAATCATCCCACTGCTACGTCAAAACAATTGATAGGATTAATGCATGCATCGGTGTATCGTCCAGATTTATCCTATATCAGAAGTTCTTTCACGTGACATGAAATAAAAGGTTTCCCCAACCAAACAAAATAAATATAAGAACGTAGAAGTACCAAGACCTTCACTCTATCAAAATAAAGACGGATTAGTTAAGGCTCGTACCTTCACTTGTAGCTTAAGATTGGCCCTTGCGAATATATTTCTCGATGGCGATCTCGTGCTTGCATCCATGGATATCAATATTACGTCTCTCATCTCTTTCAGGAGTCGAAGCGCATGGAGAACCAGATCTATCATATCACATTCCTCCCTTACGATGAGGCTGAGGTTGATTTGTTGCGCCTCTGATTTGAACTCGGAGGATCGGCTTATCTGAACTTCGACTCTTTCGCTTCGATCACTAACTTCATCAACGTCGTCGGCAGACTTCAGTTGACGTTCTAGCATTTGATTCCTCTCCTCAAGCTCAGAGAGTCGAGCTTTCAAGGAATTCAAGTAGGTCTTCGTGTTTGCCAGCACCGATACGTTGTCCTTCTGTGATATGGAATTTGGAAAAGAGAAGGAATTATCGAAATCGTTGTGAAGGAAGCAACTAGCTAACACAGTAGTACTTTCTAACTTCCACACACAGTTTTTACTACCATCTCTCTAACGCATGGCATGTGCGAGAATGATGAGCCGAAATCTCTAATCTACTGGTGTGATGATGACCATGAATGCTGATTCTGGACTCCCATTGCTGAGTCCATCTAATAATTTGAAACCGGAAGTAAAGAAACACGTTTTATTTTGAGGCTAAAAGCGTAGTCGGGAGAATAATCGAACGTCAAAATTGGTTGATTAAATGAAAGCAGTCTTGTGCCATTCTAGAATAGATGCGAAGTCCACATGTTAATCGTGCGTTCTCTATAAATCTGGTTCCAGCTTTGTACCTTAGATCCTGGCGGAAGTAGCACTCTGAGAGCATGAAAGTAGTCATTAATCTTCTTCCGACGCCTGCGCTCCGATATGATGTGGTACAACTGGTTACTTGTTGGCCGATGTTCCTGCGCTCGAGCTTCCATCCTCATCCTGTTAATTTCTGTCAAGATGTTGATGCCCATCTTAATCATTCTTTGGCCAGGTAAGTTCTGATTTGCCTCCGGTTTTGGAGCAAGAGCTGGATCGAAAGCTTTAAATGCTCCAATTTGATGGTCGATACGTCTCTGATAGATTTGGTGTTGTTGCAGATCTAGCTGGTGACTAAGTGGAGAAGAAGACGAGGATGGCAACCAGTTAACAGCAAGCATGGCTCTCCTCATTGCTTCATCATCACCTGTAGAGGCTGGGAATTGAACATTTCGGTTCGGGTTGTAGGCTTGCATGGGCATTTGGTGTGACGGAGCCACTGGTTGCTCTGTGATCGCCTCAGGAACAAAAGGAGCACCTGGTTTAGTTAGAAGAAGAGGTGAGCTCTGGGGACTTCCCGCTGATGAAGATCGAAGTGACGAGGAGGACGGTGAGGGCCAACCCAGTTCAGGTGGCAGTATGAGGTTTCCTGATTGGGAGTGCCGCATGAAGTCTCTTCCTCCTCCTCCTCCTAACTGGTACCGTTGAACGAAGTCTTCACCGAACACTTGCTGGATAATCACATGCAGGTTTGTCTGCAAACGAAACCCAGAAGATGATGATGATGATGAGAAAGAGTATACAACGAAATGAATAATAATATTCGTAACGCATGTAATTGCCGTCAGATAGATTACATCCGGTGACATCGTCATTCCTAATTCAATTTCTCCGTTCCTGCATCCCACGAATACTGCAGTCTGTCACAAAGAAGCAGCATCGTTGCTCTTAAATAAAATCGGTCGAGATTCACTAGACAAATAGGAACAACGGGTTCTGACAACAGCAAACCTTTATTCCGGCTTCCTGAAACAGTGAAAACGCATCCAAAATAAGCATCGTGAATTTCTAAAGGTAGCACTTTGAAGAACATTCTAATTCATAAAATAATAGCTGAATTTAATCACCTGGTAGAATTCCCGTTGTACGTTCATCCATGCCAAGGTCATTAGATCTGCATCCCTTAACTCGATGTATGCAGGCGCACCTTTGTAGGCCAACCCGGGAATACAACTAGGAACGGAAAGACTATACGTCAACACAACTCGATAAGCAGAATGATATACCGATCTCAAGAACTTACTGATTGATCTTATCCTTTTTGAGGAAAACATACCCATTCTGAATACTGCAAAGGGATCCGCGGTAGGCTTCAAAGAGCCTCAGGGAGATGCTTCCCGACGAGGAGCTCGGGAGATCGCCGTCTTCCTCACGGTGCCATCCATCTGTGGAGATCAAAAGGCTGGTCGAGAAGGAAATCACAAGTTGTTTCCCGTGCAAGAACAAGTTGCAGCATGAATAGAAGATGACATACTTAATCGGCGGATGGGAGAGAGGAGTCCATGTGCAGATATACGTGCAACCCAGAGTGCGGCCGGCGATCTGGAGGAACCTCCCTCGAGCTTCTGCCCCAAGGAGGAAGAAGGACTCCATGGCAAGGAGCTAAGCGATTAGGTGGCCATGATCCATATTCTATTCGGAAGGCTAATGGTTTATGTTTTCTGTCTCGGATAGCAAGGAGAAGCGGATGGATGGAGCAGAAAGACTTGAGCAGCCGACGAGGAAGTAGCTCATGGGTGACCTATTTCTGGATCGAAGTTTAAGAGAGTCGGTCTCCATGAATCGTACCTGGTGACGCTAATCCATGTGTTCTGTTTGTTATAACAGGGAAGAGGCAGTAAGTCGAGACCGGAAAGAGAAAGGCGTTGAATAGTAGGACTTGCGCAGCCGGACCAGCCTCCAGAAAGAAAAGTAGTCCTTGTAAAGTCCAAGTATTTAGAAAGAGTCAAGATAGGAGGCAGTAGAGCACTGATGCTTGTATGGAGGGGAGCCGGGCGTGGAGCTACGGATCTGTATGTTGCTTGGCGTGGAGATCCTTTGACTGCGTGGCTTGTATTCATGAATTGCTTACCTTGTCCATGGAAGAAGAGAAGTTAGACATGGCCTCGGTGAAAAGTAGACAGTTTAGCATTTTCATATTGATGCTAAAGATGATGTCGATATCTGAAGGTTTAAAATTCCCTAAAAGCTCGATGCGTATGAAGGAAACTTGATCGATTATTTGGTGGTGTGAGGCTGAGATACTGATATGCCACCTGACTGCTTGACCAGCGAGAGTAGACGTAAAAGCTGGCTCAAGTCATCCGACTGGATTTGATCCCGTGGTCATTAGACTTGGAACGACATCTTATCTCTCTTCATTATAGATTTGTAATTAAATTTAGGATGATTTGGAAAACCGAGTACAGGTCGTGCGTCGGATTTGGACTTGGTGAAACTTACAGGTAATCAATCTACCATTGTCGTCGCTTATCGCTGCAAACACGTAACTCGGGACATCATCCCGTAGCTTCTGGTTGATTGCAGATGTGTCGTGTGGTTGTCACAATAGTCGATTCCCTCCCGATCGATTGTGTTGCGAAACCTGCAGCATTGACAAGTCTCCTGTGAAACGAAGACATCTGCTCAAAAGACAAGTGTAAGTCAAATATATTTATGGTACGATAGCATGCGGATTTAAAACTCAGTGCGCTTTGAAAATTCCTGTGGCACCTGTCAACATGATGTGATTTGACTTATTTGTGACCAGAATTTCTAGTTGCAGGGAGGACTGTGGCTAATAAATAGCGAAGCAACAATCTAAACGCATGTTCCTTAAACGGTCCTAAGTCTGCATGCATCCACATGGGATATTCAAACCACACTCTTTCCTAATTAAGTGTACATATCAGTGTCCTGACGATAACTTGAGATGGACGGATAACAACGACATTCCCCCGCCAATGCGATGATGAAAGCACCGATGGGCCTCCGCTGTGTCATCGTAGCCGTAAGCCCAACCCCTCGCTCACATGAATGGTTTCACAATGGGCCTCCGTTCTCACGCACCGTAGCTGTCCGTAATTGACGTGTACATATTGTAGGTGGCCCATTGTTCACATTTTGGGAACGACTTGGTTTCAGTTATTAATTAATATTTTTATATTTGTCCTTAAATATCTGTTTAGGAAAGAAGTCATAATCTTTATTAGACCTTACTAACAAATCATGATTAGTAAGCATTCCTTAATGCCGGTGCGACTAATACATAACATCATTCGGTTTGCCTTTTAACATTACAAGACGAAAAGGCGACGGTTGAGCGATCGAGAAAAGAAAGGCGATCCTTGCCCTTGTTCCCCTCTCTCCTGAGAGAAAGATCTGCTTTGGCTCCTTTCCACCTCCGTCACTCTATCTGCTCCCAAATCTTCATTGCTCTTTCAAAGAACCGAGGTAATGATCGTACCTCTGTTCTATTCTTTTCTAAATGTCTTCTAATGTGTTCTTCATCTGGATTGTTTTATTGGAAGGTGGAACGATTTAGGCCCGAGGTGAAGGATAGTTAAGTTTTATCGTTCGGAAGTCCGATCGATTTAGCTCTGTTTTTCTTTTCTTTTTCTGTTTCAGTATAATCTAACCGAGGGCATAGAGTTCGGTTGTTGTTCCATCAGCAGGTCTTCTTGTCATCTGACTCTTTGAATTAGGGTTTATATCTCTCTCTCTCTCTCTCTCTCTCTTTGATTCTAGTTTGGGGGCTTGGTCGATTTTTAAGAGTACGCGTTATTTTCTTCCGAGGGCGACAGTTTATGGGGGTTTTGAATTTTGATCCGATCGGATATCCATCTCTCCTTTGGGATTCCAGTGAGTAATAGGAGCAAGATCCCGGATTTCAGATTAAAGAAAATGGAGATTTGTATCAACATGGGGAGGTTTATAAAAGCAACATTGTTGGTGAAAGGATTGTGTGTCTGTTATGTGTCTGATCTCCTTGCTTGTGGCATTGAACTATCTTCACCATATCGGACAAAGTGGCCCTTCTGGGAGAAAGGATGTTGCAATCAACCTTTTTACCAGGATGTTTTTTGACATCCAGACATTTTACAATGTGGTGGTTGAGGAGCTACCACCAATGTTGTAAACTTGTCGAAGATTCTCTTGGGTTATTCTGGCCTATAAAGAGACTCGTCAATTGCCAGTGTAAATTCCATCTGCCCGGATGGTTGCCCAAACCCATGTATCACTCTTCCTTCTTTGCGTAGTTGCAGCAGCAAGGTCGTCTTTCTCCCTTTCTGTCAAGCTTTTCTGGTTCTACATGTTTTCTTTGATTTTGTTTTTTTTTTCTTGGTTTAATTGTTGGAGGATTCATGCATTACAGCAATTACATTTTTCGTTGGTTGTCCACTTATGATTGAGATTCATGCATTGACCGCATGAATCATGTCCTGAATGTTTTGGTCCAGCATGATGTGCACATAAAAAAAATTGCTGATTTTTTTTTGGTTGACTTGGAACTTTTGCGTCACAAGGCCCGTTTGGTCACGCGCTCATGAAGTCTCTGATGCTTCGAACCAATTGTTCTTTAATTGTATAACTATACAACTTACTATGGGCCCTGTGTTGTCGCATAGCTCTTTGCTTTTCTTTTTCTTATTTCGCTAGAAAAAATTCTTTAGAAAACTGGTGGCTTATATATATGTATGTATGTATGCATGAAGATTTTTTTTGGCAATTGAGAACTCGTCACATTTTCTTAAGTTGAATATACTTTTTTTTCCTGTTTTCTGAGTTGTCTGAGCTTGGATTTAGACTCCACTTTGGTTGATGTGGTTGGATCCCAACCATTGATACTGTACCAATACTGATTTGTCCTATTATTTTCACCATTGTTGCCATCGTCACGATCATTATAGTGGATGCCAGTGATAAGCACTGGAACTATTATCCACATTTTACCCCTTTTTTTTTCTTTACGAATATCTGCCTACCTAACGGCAAGCACGCTCGTCTTTTATCCATCTGTCTCTGCTACTGTTAACATATTGACCCCACGCCTCAGAAATGTCGGTGTTGATTCACTCGGTCCGACTGGTGAACACCCTCACCCAACCGCCAAACCCCAGTGAGTGGTCCTCAAGATTCGTGACTCCGGCATGACTACAGATTAGTAGGAGAAGTCTGTCGACCCACCCCCTTCCCTTAACTGACAGCTTCATGAGTTGGCTTCCTCGATCGTTCTTTTGGTAAGGGAGATGAAAGCAAGAAACCTCGAAGCCATCTTTCCACCCCGACCTCCCCTCTCATCTCCACCTCCTCCGCCCGCTTCCTTACTGTCGATTCGCCACCGTCGCTCTCAACGGCGATGGTGTTACGTGTAGTGCGATCGCCACCGTGGCCCTCAGCCGCTGTCTTCTTCCGCTGCAGTCAGACCGTGAACGCCCGCATAACTCCACGATCCTAACCACTATTGAGAGACCACGTATCTAGGGTCCAAATCATGTTCGCCTGGGACGATTGCCGGTCCGCCACCCTAGTTCTTGGTTTTCGGTTGATGCCCATGACCCATTAATGTGAGATGTTTCTCTAATGTAATCTTCGGCGCTTTCATGCCTATTCTTTTCGGTTTTGTTTTTGATCTTGGATCTTAAAACGGTATAGTTCTCGATCTGTTTTTTCTATTATTTTCTTGAAATTGGATCTTGAACTAATGGAGTTTTTCATCTGTTTCCCTCTTTATTTCTCAATTTCTATTTGATTTTGCCTCTTATTTTCAGTTTTGTTATTGATCTTGGATCATAATACGATATAGTTCACGATCCGCTTTGTCTATTATTTTCTTGACTATGAATCTCGAACTAATGGATTCTGTGATCTGTTTGCCGCTTCGTTTCTCTATTTCTATTTGATTTTGCCTCTTCTTTTCAGCTTTGTTCTTGATCTTAGATCTTAAGACGATATAGTTTTTTATCTGCTTTGTCTATTATTTTCTTGATTTTTGAGAGTTTTTAATCCGTTTATTTATTTGTTTCTTGATTACCATTTGATTTTGCCTCTTTTTATTAGCTTTGCTTTTGATATTGGAACTTAAAATGACTTGATCTGTTTTGTCCTTTTTTTCTCTCTAGATCTTGAACGAATAGGGTTTGTTTCTTTGATATTTCTGTATCTCTGTGTAGTTTGTGATTTTGGAATTTTGAACTATGAGTTTCTTTATCTGTTTGCCTCTTTGATCTGTTTCCGTTTTATACAGCTTTCCATCTTCCACCTGAATAACTAATCGTTCTGTGTATAGAGAAAGGGAGTGTGAAAGAGACAGGGAGAGAGCGTAGCAAGCGAGGTAGAGGTGGGACGAAGAATTAGGAAGTAAGACGAAAAGTGTGTGAACCAGGTGGAGTAAAGTAACTTAATTAGTGATTTGAAGCTTTGATATAGCCAGAAGATATCACGTGATCCGCATCAGAATGATGGTTTTTCAATCTCACGTGGCTGAGGAGGTCTATGAGGAGCCAAATGGACTGCGAAGAAGGATCTGCTCCTCCCCTCTCTTAACCAGATGGTAAGGCGACATGTTTCTCTACTCAACCATCGTTCTTCTCTTTCAATTCTTCTTGTATTCTTTTCTAGAATCGCCGATGATGTTGAGATCCGTCATGTTTCAATGGGACTTCTATAGCCGATCGAAATTCTTGGAAGAGCCAAACGAAGTGCGAAGAAGGATCTCCGCTACTTTCCTCTTCAACAATATTATTAGACTACGTGATTCTCTACTGATCCTTTGTTGTCATCTCTCAATCTTTCTTGAATGCTTCTTCAGAATTGCCGAAGATGTTGAGATCTGTTATGTTTCTTGTTCGTTTTTTCTCTTTGGATTTTTTGGTATTCTATTCTTCTGGGGTCGTTGGGGGTTTTGAGATCTGGCCTTCGCTTCTTGCTCGTCTAGTTTCTTGGATCTTTCTCGCATTTTCTTAAGGGTTCTTGAGGGCTTTTAGATCTGTCCTTGTATTCTTGTTCATTTGTTTTGTTGCATCCAATTGGAGGCGACGAAGCCCGTGACGAGCCCCGTCCCATCCTGAACTCGAGGTATCCGACCTCACTGTGATGATGCTTTGACAGGCTCTTCCTCAACTTGTGCTCTCTATGTAAGTAATCTTTTCTAACCCTTTGTCTCCTATTTTTTCTTGGCGTTCTTGATTCTTTTCTTATTCGTGTTTCACAAACATTGTTGGTTTCTTTGTGAGTGTTTTTGTTAATGGTTCAAAGACTAGGGGCAGAAGTATTCTCTACGACTTTTTTTTGGCGTTCTTGATTCTTTGTTCGTGTTTACAAACAGTGTTGGTTTCCTGTAGGTGATTTTGTTAATTGTTGAAAGTTGGTGATTTTATAATGTTGACGGCGTATGAATGTGTTTCTTGATGTAGGGTTAAGGATGGTAATATTCATTCTGTGTTTAAATTTTTACTACCATGAATCTCGTTTGTTCTTTTAGTTTTTGATGATTTCTCTGTATAGTTCTGTTCTACTGAGTTCTGTTTGCATTTATTATTTTAAGATCCTCATTTGATCGACTAGATTTATAAATATATTATATGTTTGTGGGGCTTGAATTAGTTCAGTGAGAGAAATATTAGTTTAGTTGGAATGTTCACAGTCTAATATTATATATATATATATATATATATATATATATATATATATATATATATATATATATATATATATATTCTAATGTTTCAGTTCAAGGGGAATTAAGACTACGCGTTTGAAGTGCCAACTAAGACTACGCATGTTAAACTTATTTCTTATTTTTCTATTGAGACGAAGTAATGTGAACTAGTTGTCAGATTACTTCCCACGTTCACATAATGCTAATGGACTTTAACACCTTTTCCACAAATATGATTTCCCTTACAAAATGAAGCGAGTGCACACTAATCTTTTCCTTAGTTAGCTGAGCGATATTCTCTAACTGAAGCTAGAGTGATAAAATTCCTCATTATCACTAGTGAGGCAGTAGAGATTGTATCCATATAAACTCTATACCTTGAAACTCGAAGCAATTTTCCGGATAGCAGGGAACATTTAAAGAAAATCAATTTCGGGTTTAGGAAAAGTAAGTGGAGAGTAATTTATTTCTAAAGAAGAAAATTTGAAAAGCAAACTTTTTCAATTTTCTGGAAAAATAGTAACGTAGTGTATTAGAAACACGCCATTGTCACAGGTTTCATATTGGCAAATCTACATGCCCGAAATGGATTCAATTTCTAAAATATTTATATGGTCCTCTCTCGTATTAAAACTTAAAATGTTTTTCTAAAAATTTAACCCTCTGTCACCGCCCATCCACTCGGAGAGATCCTAACTTATTATTATCAACAAAGAAATTGTTTTTAAAGGAAAAAAATGGACAATAGAAATGATTGTGTAAATTAGAAATCGCATTCATTCTCTGGCTAATGCTACAACCACTGTAGATAATTTTAACACTAAGAAAATTTCATCTCCGTTTAACGGGTATCTCAGCAAGGTCTTGCAGAATACATGTAAAATCTCCGAATGCATTCTCGCTTCATTTTCCTTCGGCTCAACGAAAATTTCTTTACTTACCATAAAATGGTCCCAGTGAAAACTCATTTGAAATGCAGCGGCCTCCAATGTTCCCTCCAGTGACAGAAACTCATGCAAAATTAATCTGACACATACAAGTATTATGATAAGTAGATAGATAAGAGCTATATATATATATATATATATATATATATATATATATATATATATATTGTATGTATATATATATATATTGTATGTATATATATATATATATATATATATATATATATATATATATATATTGTATGTATATATATATATATATATATATATATATATTGTATGTATATATATATATATATATATATATATATAATGTATATATATATAATGTGTATATATATATATACATATACATATATACACCGACAAGTGACGAGTTCTTACTGGAAACGAGATAATTCCTCCCTTTCCATGCCACCAGTGCCCCACCTTCCTGTCCCTCTCCCTCGTCACGAAGAGTTGTTCCTATCACATTACAAGAAGAGAAGACTAACTAAAACTGATTTTCTGAGGTTCACAATGCTCAATCAAATCCATGTAACATTGTTAGATAATAAGTTTGCAAATATTTCATAAATGGTCACTTTTTAATATTGCACGTGATTACCTCAAGGTCAGACATAGCATCTATTTCTTAAACTTTTTAAAATACTGCTGTAAAACTTTCAAATCTAACGAGTTCATTCTCCAACTATTGTTAAGCAATGGCAACAACACAATTACAATATCTAAAGAGTTCATTCTCCTATCTATTTAAGATTTCAAATTGCAGGTTTGCAATTATAACTATGAAACTTTAGTATCTATATTCGTCACAATATTTATTATGGAGATGATGTCAATTGCTGTATTGCATGACAAAGTTCAATACTAGAGTTCATACACACCTTAAAATATATGCAAAATCCCTGAATGAAATAAGTTATGAAGGCAGCCATTGGTTGAATGAAATGAACCATTGTCAAACAGCAAGGAGAAGACATTTAAAGAATTAAGGACTGTCTCGATCGGCATCTCACTCTAATAGCATTTCATTTATTCATTATAATATTATGTTAGTGTGGACACTAACCTTAAAACCCAAAATTGCAAGCGAAACTAATTGCTCTTCAAATACCAATCGTCACTGGTACATAAATATGTCAATCTGTAACTATTCAAGCTTAGGCAAACTTCTAGAACCATAAGTCGGCACATCATATTAGGTTAGGCATTTCCTCATCTCTCATTTACACAAAAATATCATATCGAGCAGTGTGATTCATCACATGCGCCATTATGACAGATGTAAATAAATTAATGTATATACATCTACTTGAAGTTTCAATCAAAGATTGGGAGGTTGCTTTGTTTTTTGTAATTGAGACCAACTTAGACTCTGGTTCAAGAACCAAGGATGATAAAAGAACTAATCCTATGACATGCCCCAACACACATTCCTCATTCCCTGCCCTCCTTGAAAGCCATCTTCTGCTGTCCACTACGGGGAGGTATTATCTGAGATCAGCTTACATCTGTCATTTAAGAATCTTTCGTCTTCATTTGTTGACTTTGTTGGCAGTTTTGTTATTGTTAATGTCACGTAAATACTTTTTAAAAATTTTGGTTTATACTGTTCGGATTCTTTATACTGGTCATGATGAGTATTTAATAAAACTCTACCCGTTCGAACACCTTCTACGCTTAGATATTCACTGCATAATGGGCCATTATGACAGATCATTAAAGAAATAATGAAAAAGTAAGTTTATGATTGTGAGCAAAACGAGCCCAAAGGTCCGCTATAATTACTATGGCAGATGGAGTATTTCTCCCCCGCAGTTTGCATTGACGATCCACAAACACCTTCATGATTTTGAATAATTTTCATGCTCCACAAACACATAATATAATTATAAATCTACACGATCGAATGATAAGCTTGAAATAATACATGCAAACAGAACTCAACAGAAGAGAACTACAAGATAAATCATCGAAGACTAAAAGAACAAAAAGATTCACGGTAGTAAAAATTTAAACACAAAATGAATATTACGATCCCTAAGCCCATAACTATCAAGAAACACATCCACAGGTCATCAACATTACAAAAGAATCAAGAACGCCAAGAAAAGATCGGAGAGAAAACTTCTGCCCTTAATCTTTCAACTATCGACAAAAACATCTACGAGGAACCAACACTGGTTGTGAAACGCGAATGAGAAAAGAATCAGGAACGCCAAGGAAATATCGGAGACAAAGGGCTAGAGAAGATCGCTTACATAGAGAAGTATACAGCGAAGAAGAGCTCGTCAGAGCATCATCACAGCGAGGGTCGGATGCCTCGAGTTCGGGACGGGGCTCGTCACGAGCCTGAAGCCTCCAGTCGGATCCAACAAAACAAACGAACAAGAAGACAATGACAGATCTCAAAACCCTCGAGATCCCTAGATCTAGATCAAGAGAATGCGAGAAATATCCAAGAAAACAGATGACCAAAAAAGATCACAGATCTCAAAACCATCAAAAACGCTAGAAGAAGATGATACCACAAAATTTCAAGCGAACAAACGAATAAGAAACACGATAGATCTCAACATCGTCGGCAACTCTGGAAAAGCATTCAAGAAAGATCGATAGAGAACGACAAAGGATCAGTAGAGAATCATGTAGACTTACAATCTGGTTGAAGAGGAAAGTGGAAGAGATCCTACTTCGCCCTTCTTTTGGCTCTTCCAAAGGATTTCGATCGGCTTTAGAACTCCCATTCCATCATCTTCTAAGAAACATGACGGATCACAACATGATCGAAGATTCTAGAAACGAAGACAAGAAAGATCGAAAGAGAAGAACGAAGGATCAACAGAGAAGCATATCGTCTTACCATCCGATTGAGGGAGGAGCAGGTCCTTCTTCTCCCGCCGTTTGGCTCCTCCAAGAATCTTCATCGGGTTTGGGACTTCCGACCCAGCGATACATATACCCAGACCTCAACACATGTCAGGCACGTGAGATTGGAAATCCTCACGTCAATGCTTTAAGCCACGATACGAGTGATGAATGGTGGGTCCCACTATGCTTTGGACAACCACGGTGGACACGAAAAGAAATCATCCATCCTGGTAGGCAAATCCTGTAGCAGTAATCAGATGAATTAGCACTGTCGTCCGTATTCTTTTTGGCTTTTCCTGCGTTTGGGTCTCGAAAGCGATTAGGAAACAGACATACTGGTGAATTGAACGTTATTAGTCTCCATTTCACATTTGTCTCACTCGAGAAATGCTATATTCATCTTTCTTCACGTTTGCCGTGGGCGTCTTAATCAAATCCAATGCCTAAATCGAACGTAATGTATAAAAAAAAAAATCCCTAAATCGATCATAGCTGGCTAAATCAAGACCGTTCGTCAACGGTCGATTTCAGCTAAATGCCTCTGAGACATGAGGTTGGGAATTGCAGGATATATATGTATTACTGGTGAATAAAAAATCACTCAGCTGATCGACATAGAAATGGGAAGGAAGGTGGAGGCGCGGTCGGTGGTAATGCCTCGGAATTCGTAGAACGCAGGCCGTGTTTGTGTCAGACTCTGGCGTCATTCATAAAGCAGAGTGGCTGCCGCTCCTCGAAAAAGCAGAAAGCGACTCTCTAATGAGGGACGAAAGCGGTAATGTCTTGTAGCACTGCTCAGGGCACGTGAGCCGGATACAGGCAGAAGCGCAACCAGCGATGCGGTGACATGTAAACGACGAGATGCGTGGCGATGAGGGACGAACGCACTCGGCTATAGATGGAGTTCATAGGAAGACGAAAGTATTCCGATGGTCATTGTCATATTTCATGGTTCCGCATGAATGTTTTAAGAGCACATGCAAGTCACAAGAAGTAGATGGACAACTAGTAGCATTAATTAATAGCTTACGCACCATTTACATCATAATTTGTTGGTTCACAAACTACATTAATTTATAATTGCCACAGCCACACAAGATTGACAACGACATCTGCTTGATCTTAAAAAGACGTCGTCATATACTTGATCGATGAACGTCTACATATAAAATTGGGGCATGCGTCCATCACATTGCTACAGAATATATCGCATCCAAAGAGATGTCCCGAAAGAAACAACACAAACTAATAAAGATGCCAAAAAACACACACCCTCACCTCGCTAGATAGAAGCTGAAGAAGAAGAAATACAGTACTTGTACACGATAACACATCCCTAATGCAATCATGTTATTTCTAAGACAATAGCTAAGAAAACCTTTCACTTTTTGTTTTCTAAGATCCACGGTTGAGCATCTCCTTGTACCTCATGATGGACGCTAAGCGCTGCAGCTTCAGCTGATGCCGGAACCGATTGATGAAGTCGTCCGCCCGCGCGTCCACCTCCTCGCCGCCGTCTCCTACGGCTGGATCCACGGTCTCCGTCGCTGACGCCACCGCCTCCTCGAAGTGCGAGAAGGCAGACTTCTCGCTGGCCGACTTCTTCATCCGCACCGCCAGCTTCGGCGGCATCTCCCCCGCCGTTGGTTGCGTGTCCGACTGGCTCCGGCCTAAATGTTCGCCGTGCTGGTGCTCGCCCTCCGCCTGGGGCGCGGGGTGGGGGGCCTCGTCCACGATCTCAGCCGCGGGGGCGGGCGTGGACTCGAAGGGAGGGGGGATCTCGCCGAAGCGGTAGTGGTGGAGGTTGAAGGAGCGAAGGCGGTCGAGAACAACAGAGGAGGAGCGTGAGAGGGAGCGGGTAAGGAAACGACCAGGATAAGCTCCGCCATCGTCGTCCGCCGCGGTGCCTCGCTGGTGGTGGTGGTGGTAGGACTTGGAGGCGATGGCGATGCTGCCGATGACGACGTTGAGGAGGACGAAGAGGACGGTTGGCGTGAACCAGCCGTACACGGAGGCCAAGACCGACGGCAGCGTTTCTCCCAGCATTTTATTTGGTGGTAGGTTGGACTGGGCGGCGGAGGGTAAAGGAGGCGTGCGTGAGGGTTGAAGGTGAGAGGGCGGGCGGCTTATATTGGGAAGAGCGACGTGCACGTGACGGAAGCATGCGGCTCACATGGCGGTGGCAGGCGACGGAATAGATTAAGATCAAAACGGAGATTAGGGTGATGAGCGCACACAAGAGATGAGATTGGATGCTACGCGATCTGCTCAGGCTGCTCACTGAATTGACGGGTGCTTGGAAGTCTTGTTCGGTCTTTTTCTATTATTTTTCATGGAAGGAAGGGGAGCGTTTCTGGGCATGGAAGACTTGCTCGGTCTTTAGTTTATGTTTCATGTTCTTTTCTCGCTTCTTTAATCTGCCATGGATGTTGTTGCGCGTTCCATGTTACATCAGATTAAACCCAGTCAAACGGGGGACTGTGGGTTACCGAGCGAAGGTTGTGAAAGCTAATGTAGGATAATCATACTTGTCACGTGTCAAGGTTAAGGAAGATTCTCGGTTGCTGGAGTTCGCGTCATTTCTATTGGGTTGGAGTCAATGCACAAAGAGGCTCCTACTTCCTACTATTTGGATACGGACACCCGTGCAGGAGCTTTCTTCCTTTAAGCTCGGGTCATGTCACCGTGGATGTCTCGTCACGCCACCGTCGGATCAGCAGTCACGCCACCATCAGATCAGCAGGAGAAGCTCTTCCACGCGTCGAGCCAAGATCCGTATCAAAACATTTCTCAGTACACTTTCTCACCCCCTCCCCTCTTGGGATCGATCGTCGTGTCAAACTCACATACAATCGATCGTCGAATAGTAGTATAAGAACCTCTTGTGATCGGGGGAGAAAAAAAAAGGAGAGAATGAACACTAACTTACTCGTTGAGGGGTTAAAGTCAGTAACCACTTGACAAGTGCCTTCAAGAAAGCAACCACCCCCGAGGCACGATCATCCCGATCAAGAGACATCTTCTTCCAAGCAGGTCCGATATCTCGATCGAGAAACACCAATTAACACCCCGTCCTAAGGGCATGATCAATCTTATCGATCAGTTTAGTCGATCGGATACTCATAACATCAACCTGTGCACTAGACGTGACTCATCAACCACGAAAATCAATTCACCAACAGATCATTAAATTTGTGACAGTGTCTTGCCCGAGGTTTGGTACCACACATCACATGGTCGGCATAATTTAGTTAGAGAGAGAGATTTGCTGGTCTTCGCTAACGTTTGGTCTTCTCACTAACCTTCAGCTGTCGAGGAATCTTATAGTGACTTGGTCTTTTGCTACTGCTATTTACATCTCATTAATTCGCTCTCCTTTCTTTTGAAAGATTCGAAGAAAGCTACTTCATTGGTTGGGTACGTATTTCAATCTCGCTTCTCCGTTAGTTTTTGGGTTTCCTTTTTACCATTAAGCAATTATAACTATTTTGTTCTGGAAGCTCCAAGGAATAGAGAACCAATGATATATGTCGGCATAAACTATTGGAGGAATTTTCTCAAAAAAGAAACCAACAGTTAACCGAGCATACGTGCACACGAAACGGCTGTCATCTTACGGTGCTTTATGTTTCAGAGGTTGGACTCAGTCTAATCATCGCAGTGTGTCGGCTAGTTTAGGTGGAAGAATAATTGCATGTTGTATTGATGCGAGGTACGCTGAATATTGTGTCGACTAGTGGAACTGTAGCATGTCGCGTATTGTGTGCCATGGCAATAGAAAATGTCGATCATGATGATGCAGTCGACGTAGTTGACGCGGAGCTCCAATTACGCGACATGCTACAGTAGAAAATGTTGATGATGATGGATGCAGTCGACGTAGGCTGATGCGGAGCTCCACTTAACTAAGCATCCAATCAGAGAGATCGAGAAGTTAGTCGTGCCATCTTGAACAGAAAAGCATTTGGTGAACATCAGTAGATTCCACATGTCAACAACTATTTCATAATCAAGCCTTCACCTGATACGTCTGCTCGATAACCTGACTTGTGATAGGACGTAGAGATGTTGTTTTGGGCTCAAGTGGGCCGATGTAACATGGTGCATTACCAAACCGACGAGCTGGGGTTTTATGTTATCTATCCTCCATAAAATCTGAGTTTTCCACACCCATTGACGAGTTGGCTGGATAAAAATGGTTCGTTCACAAGACAACGGCAGGCGGAGGCTCCAGCGAGTGCCGTGTTCCGCGGCGAGCAGCTGCTGCCGTCGGTTGCGGAGCCATTTCTGTTATCCACCGTCGTCGCTACTCCCACCACCAGTTGTCGGCGAGGCGCCAACATCTCCGTGGGCGGGGGGCGGAGCGTAGAGTACGAGTGGGCGGAGCTACCAAGTGGCACCTGCGGACAGCCACGTCGGCGGAAGACGACAAGGAGGACTGAAGCGCGCACCCCCACGCGGATACGCCTTGTCCTTATCCGCTCGCTGTCAGTCTGCGCGCCCCTGTCCGCCTGCTGCGTGCTCGTCCTCACACCAAACTCCCGTCACTGTTACCGTGCCTCACAAGTTGCTTGTTTGCTCGGTCTTGTTTCTTCTCTGCCACCCTAAACCACAATTCCGAGCACAGGTTCCAAAACCTGCCGATTAAAAAAAGGGTTTGGATGGTTAATGCACCATGTTCTCTAAGCAAGGATTAAATCACACCCAAAACCCTCCAGGATACAGGCAGGCACTCGTGCGTGACGCTCATCCCATGCGATCAGGCCTTTGGGGTGGTGACCTCGTCCCTAAGAGTCTACACTCCCATTTCAGTTTCTTTAATTTGAGTTTGATCCACAACAGCGGAGTCCTCCATCTCCAAGAAGATGGATGCATGGAGCTTCAGGCATTTGCATTCGGTGTACCGACTAGCTCGAAATAGGAGACAGATGCAATGCCTTTTTCTATCATCAGGCAAATCTGATGGCAAAGAATTGATGTATCGTACTTAATCACGAGGAAGGAAATTAAGCAGAAGAAAACGTAGTTAGCACTTGGCAAAAGACGGCGAAAAAAACAAACCGGAGCAGAGGCAAAAAAGGGTGGGGAGAGGGAGTAGGTGTTGGCCCCAGACTCACTCTATTACACAAAAAAAGGCATCGCGGTCAAAAGTAGTAGCCGACCAGTCATCCAAATAGAAAACTTCGTAAACGACAAAAAGACATTAATATCCGTCTCATACCACATAAATGCCCAACTGGGTGTACATCCGAAACTTAACAAAGGCATATGACATCAAGCGTTGTGTGTTTAGGTGCAATACCTCTCTCGCTTCATCTCGTCATGCTCGGTGCTTTGGCACCCGCGAACCACGTATCTGCCGATCCCGTCTCTGCGTCCAACACGCAACAGTTTCATAAGTCTCTCCTCTCCTACTGCCACGTCGTATCATCCTGCACGTTATCTCCTTGCTTTCGACGCTGGCCCACTCTCATCCTCCTTTGTCTGCGGCTCCCATATATAGCCCAACACAGGGAACAGGGAGGACGCATACTGGAATAACCTCATCTGCCTCTCTCCTGACGCCACCGTGGCGGGAGCGAACTTCGATAAGTCTCTGTTCCCTGCTTGGCTCCAGACAGAGGAGCCCTGATCCCCCACTATATATACGTACATATCACCCAAATCTTTTTCTCCGCCGCGAACGAGCGAGTCATGGAGGAAGAGGCGGGAAACCGGAAGCGGAAGGAGAACGACGGCGGCGGGGCAGAGGCGGCGAAGGCGGCCAAGTTCATCGCGGAAGTGCCCGAAGCGGAGGGGATGGTGGAGATGGAAGAGGCGGCTGTGGCGGAAGTGATGAAATGGCTGGAGGAGGAAATGGACGCCGCCGCACTCCCCCCGTCTCCTTCGTCGCCATCCTACCGCCAGGAGACGTCCTTCGTCACCATCAACGGCAACGAGGAGAGCTGCGGGCCCTCATTCTCCAGCTCCGCGTCCACCGTCATGGCCAGCGTGGACACCAGCGGCGCCGATTACGTGCCCTACTTCGTCGGGTGCCCCTCCGACAGCGCCGCGTGGCCGCCCGCCGCACCATTAATCCGGACCCTGGCCGAAAGATCGGCGGCAAAGCCCGTCGCGGAAGCGGCGGACGGGTACGGCGCCGCCGCTGTCGAGGATGACGAGTCGGAGTGGGTGGCGCAAGTCCTCGGGGTCGGTGCAGCGCTCAAGGTGGAGGAGAGCCGGGTGTAGAGAGCGAAAGAGAGAGACTAAAGGAGGAAGAGAGAGAGAGGGTTTTGTCTTTGTATAGGGAGGGGTGTTTGTTACTCTTTATTGTCTCCTGCATTGGAATGTGAAATGAGACAGTGGAAGGATTTGTTGCTGAAGTAGCAGAAGAAAAGGTGTGGGGGGTGGGGGGAAAGAGTTTGTTTTTATTCCTAAAGAAACCTCACCAGCTCAGCTTTCTCCTTCCCCCGTGGACGTGAGATTTGAGCTTTGGTGGTACTATCCCACTGGAAAGCATTGTCTTCGACCATAAGGAGTACTAGTAAATTAGCACGGTGATGCTATGTTTTTTTATTTTTTAAAATCCGAAGAGCGGAGTCAAAATTTATGAAAAGGTGGATTCACCATCTCACATCGGTCCCCTAATTTTTATTATTATTTATTTCATACATCGTGAGTTTTAGTTAGTTATCGAACAGAGAGAGCCATAGCAATTGGGTTTCATGTAAATACCGAAATCCACCCCCCCCTCTCCTAGACCACCGAGAGCTGAACCGTCGATACGGGACAGAAGCTCCGCCATCCATCGAGTCCGTTAGTTACACCATACCATCCCAGCAGCAGAGGCCGTTTTCAACACTTACGTACCATACCATGTAGTGGCTTAACGCCAAAAGCATTGCGGCACGGTGCCGATAAATACACTGACGGAAACCGAGCACATTTTTTGTCACAAGCTGCTCACTTAAATCATCACATGAAATCTCTGACCCGAAAGCCAAGCTCCCTACAACGTAGAAGGGCAAGCACATCACATGAAGAAGAACAGCCAACATTTGTAACGAGGGGAGGCTCAAAAAAAAGAAAAAAAATCGAAGGGGAAGAAACAATATGAACCTTTTTAGTGATATGT